GATGTTGAACAAATATGTCTGCTCTCTGAAAATTTGCGACAGAACGGCGACTACTTCCTCGAACGACAAATCGGTACTCTTTTTAGCTAAGATAAAATTGGTGAACTTCTCGTGTTCGACAGCACCAAGCTTCCGCAGCATTAGTCGAATCTTCTTTTCCGCTGGAAGGTTAGCGAAGTCAACCCGGAACATGTCTTCATACTTGTGGAACCAAGAAACAAATGTTTTTCATAATTTCAGAAGGTTTTGAATACAAATCGGTTTTGGTAGGGTTTTATTGTAGCCACATTTCACCCTTGACGCAAGAGCTTCTTCAGGCCAGGTGAATTAGTACAAAGTTAGCTCACCTTTTTACGGGAAGGTTGCAAGACAAAACATGAACCATTGGATAATAGTGTTACAGGTCAATAGGTCAAGTGGCCATGCTAGTGAAAGGAGTATTCTCGTCGAATTTATTCGGTATACATATATACATGGATTGGCATCATCCGTGTCCAATTACAGTTCGAATATAACATATCCACATGCATTTGTCCAACCTTAAGTACGAATTGCCACAAACTGGATAGATAGTACTAACAACGTGTATGGGTTTCGCTTGGAGGTCAGGCTAACAGCCACTTTCGCAGGCATGAGAATAAGTACCCGATATGAAATATTGGAGTTTTCTAACACTTAGACGTGAACGTCTGGTCTCCTAGTTAACAAGACCTATGTACACCTACGCGTGAGCTCAAAGGCCAACTGTTACGCTGCACCTGGAATGTGCAGTTTCTATTCAACGGGAACTACTATCGGCAGAAGGACGGCGTGGCCATGGGATCCCCCCTCGGACCGCTATTAGCGGATATCTTCATGACAAAATTAAAGAGAACCGAAATGCCGGCGGTGAGAGACTTTTTGACCGCTTTCATCGATACATGGACGATATATTTGTTGTGGGAGATAAGCGTATTAATCTGGATGAAATTCTTGACCACTTCAATCGAGTGCATACAGCGGTGCAGTTTACTTAAGAGGAAAGCGATAATCGGCTACCATATCTCGATGTCTTGTTAATTAAGAGACCATACGGATGCATCTATTGTCAGGTCTACAGAAAAACAACGTGGATTGGTCAGTATACGAACTTTTACAGTTTCGTTTCCATGACATACAAGCGCAACTTGGTTCACTGTCTTACCTCAAGAGCAAGTCGAAGCTGTACGGAAGACACCCTAGACACGGAGTTAGTGTTCATACAGAATACTCTACGTGAAAACGGTTATCTCGATAGATTTACCCTAAGGAACTTGCAAGAAAAGCCCAGACCAACGCCCGTGTTAACAGCAGCGAAGAAAGAGCTAATTATTCGTTTATCATTCAAAGGGGACGCGGCTACCGAGCATCTGACAAGAAACCTTTCGGCTGCGGTAAAGTCGACCGTCCCAGCAGCCTCGTTGAAGTGCGTGTTTTCAATAGAATCACTCATTCGTTCACAAAACAAGGACAATATGCCGATGTTGACCACCCCAGTGGTAATTTATCAATTCGTGTGCGCCTGTGGTGCGACGTATATTGGTAGAACGGCACGACAGTTATCCAAACGCGTGAACGAACATTGCCCTTGTTGGCTGCGTCAAGGGGGCGCCGGGACCATTAATAGCGCCATTCTGGCCCACATTGTGGGCACCGGCCATAAGGTGGATTGGAAACTCGCTTTCCGATTAGTTTACAAGATTCCGCCGCACCGAACGAAAGACTACCGTCTTCGTACGCTTGCGACAGCTGAAGCAATATGCATTCGGTTGTTCCAGCCGTCCTTATGCTCACAGAAGCTCTTCCAGGCTCTCCAACTTCCCTGGCTAGCGAAGATGGAAGACGCCCAGATCGACTGCCTTCGGTCAGACGCGGTAGCAAACAACTAGCCCATTAAGACCTAATTCGTTTTCTCAATTCTGACACAGACCTTCACGTGATCAAGTCGTTTTGAACTAACTAGGTCGATTTTTCTTTCTAGCCTACATATCATTGTAATGGTCTGATGATGTATCTTTGTAAACAATTGCTTATTAGATGGTCTTCCATTGGTATTTGACGTACGGGTGAGTTTTTCGAGCGAATTGCGTTTTTGATGCGGAACACTGCTAGCGTGGCATATAATTGAGTATGTTTCCTGTCCGGTGGATACGCTAGAATCAAAAAGTTACTATCGCTTGGCCGCTTACAGTACCCATAGGATGTAAAGTTTGAGGTTTGGAACACGATGCTCAACGATTGTCCTTCTTGTCACCACGTTGGACTGTGCATCCGAAGAGAAATTTCCCTGGAAATTCTGTGGCAAGTGAACATTCCCAACAATCAACCGACTATCGATTATCATGATGTCGGTAGTTCATGTTCCGCTCTACAGTTTAGTGATAAAAGTGAGCATAGATATATTACCAGTTGTTCATCAGTCATACTGAATTTACCGGGGCGTATAAAAACGCACATAGTAAGCGGATGGAATGTGGAAGCGTAGAGACGCCTACCAGAAATTGCACTGCACATGGCCAATCTATTGGATAGGCTAAGTAAAATGTTAAACGCAATGGGAATGCTACGCCAGTGTATCAGTATATTATATCAGAAAGGAATCGGCGCATAACGCTAATCGTTTTAGGAGCACCACGAGCACACGAGAAGTACGATTCAGATCGTTACCAAATAGCTTCTGGCCACAGCAGAGTACACATCGGTAGGTACAAACAGTTGACTGCTTGGATAGCAGCCATGCTGCGTTTTGGACATTTGCAAAACCATACGAACACTGTTTGGAAAGCCGCATGTTTGACAATGAGCAGCGGGACTTAGTTGATATAATACTGTGGTAGTTGTCGTGCCAAGGAGGCCGTAAGCGGCGAATATGTGGTATTGCCATCTGTCAATGCTTAAGGTTGCGTAACAATCGTTCTTTGAGAATCTGCACGTACCTTGGGCAGCAGATGACTCGACCGATCAGCGACACGGAGAGCATGAAGTGAACACCCCATCGCATTCACACGCTGTGCGATCTCCCTCTTCAGCTACACAAACCAGACTGTGGATATAGACGACAACACTTATGTACACACTATTTTCCCGTACCATTTGTTAATTACCATTCTAGCTAGCAGCCGTATTGATTGCAGTTGCTTCACTATTACTATATCGGGTTCGTTCAAATCTGGATGGCCGAGATTTATGGCTGTCATCTATGTTCACGTCTAAATGTTAGAAAACTCCAACATTTCGTATTGGGTACTTATTCTCATGCCTGCGAAAGTGGCTGTTAGCCTGACCTCCAAGCAGAACCCATACACGTTGTTAGTACTATCTATCCAGTTTGTGGTAATTCGTACTTAAGGTTGGACAAACGCATGTGGATATGTTATATTCGAACTGTAATTGGACACGGATGATGCCAATCCATGTATATATGTATACCGAATAAATTCGACGAGAATACTCCTATTACTTTTGTACTGGCAACTTAGTTCTGGGAAACGGCACTGGGGCAAACCGAAAATAACATTACCAAAACATGAAGGTGAGTTTATGACGAACTAATGTTGCTTTCAGGTGTTGCGAATGAAAGGCAAAGTTGATTGGTGTCAATTCCATGGACTGATCCAGAGAGTGGTTGCCCAGGTGCAAGAGAAGGCACTATTGCACGCCTAATAGAAGCACGATGCGTACGCTCCCATTCGACTTACTAGTTCAGGCCAGTAAGGCGGTGTATGTGGTACGTTTGCCTGCGTGTTGAGTATTCTTGCATTTCCGAAGTGGATGTTTGAGCTTTCCGGTGTGGCTGCACCTGATGTAAATGTAGACAAAGTGCCTACTGTCTACTACCCTCCACCTCGATTGCTGGCTCCAAGAGACAGTTGACCGTTGCTGGTGGGGACGGATTGCACCGTCTTCTTGACCGTGCTAGGCTCAAAGAATGGTTCCATCCTGTGCGGATCGAGCTACGGTCCAGCCACCACCTTGTATTCCTTTGCTATGCATTATTTTCCAATTAGGCCGGAATGTTTCCGTTCTTTTTGTTGAAGGAGTGTGGGCCGGCTCCGTTGATGAAACGTGGCTCCCATCCACATGCCTCCCGGTTTCATTCTTTCGGGTTTACACCGGATATGGGTTGTGTGGGTGATGCAACGCAAGCCACCCTTGGTCCCTCTGTAGTGGCAGGCGTCCTGTGCCTGGAATTGTGGAGGCCACAGTGACAGGCAAATCCGGATACGGATGTCACCGATCATTATATATATATATATATATATATATATATATATATATATATATATATATATATATATATATATATATGTATACATATATATATATATATATATGATTTTTGAGTACTTGTACTTTCTGAACTGGCGAAACACAAGTTGGTTTGGTTGCAACGAACCGTGTGTGTTTGAAGGCTGTGGGTCGATGACGAGCCAATGCGGGCTGGTTTGACTTTAGTCTTTCTGTTGCGTGCGGTTTCAAGCAGTTCGGACAGCGGTGACAGGTTGGTGTGGTTGTTCGCGTTGTACTTACTAATTTGGCGACGATAAATGGTTCTAATGGTAGGATTTATTCGGGATAACGAATTGGGATCGACAGCTGGATCCGAGATGACGGGAGGCAGTTGATCTGGTGCTTACAGTAGAGACCCTGTGTGAAACTTACAAGGTGTTCTACTGGCTGTTTTCGTCGTTTCATTGAAGTTTCACCCAATCTGTTTGGTTGATTTGGACGCGCCGTAATTTTAAGCATCTCAGCGTTGTTGCCGAGGATGCATCGCGTATTTTCTACTATGTATCTGTCTCTCGTCACACGCTTATTACTTGGTGTCATCCATTGTTTCGCGTGGCAAATCCGGGCTTCTTTGTTACAACTTAGTCTGCCACAGCCGATGTACACGAATTGTAATGGATCACTGACTGTGTTGTTGGCGATTTCTCACTGTAATCTTTCTGCAGTTACTCATTTCTTGTTTCACCGTGCAGATCAGCGCCCCCATTCATGTGAGCTCTGCGACAGATCGTTTGCTGTGAAGGACACTTTACGAGCACATGTTGAATCTGTTCACTTTGGTGAGTGTGATACCTTCATTTAATTTCCATTTTCCTTAAACGCGTTTGACCATAATACGTACTTTTGGTTTTAAAAACAGTGTGCTACGTTTCTCATGTTGTAGTATTCACTGTCCAGGTGCATGGTAGTCCCATTTCGATATCCACTATGAGGATGTGAAACGAATGGTCCCTTTGAATCATGTGGCCGGGATGATCGTGATCTACTTCATAGATCCTTGTTTAGACTGTTCGACTATTCACCTAGCGATCACTCCAACCATACCAGCTCTGTGTCCCAATCCGTTATGACTTGCTTCTTCGCAGACACTTGTAGTGTAATTGCAAAGACTCAAATCAGTTATCTTGTCTTCCCCGGTCCGATTCCCGCGGTTATGATTTTTTCTGTTCTTATTCCATTTGCTACTGATAAATAAAAACATAATAATATGTCAGCTGCATGCCGTAACGGCGCTTCGCTGCCGCGCGACCACCACCAGTCGCGCGCGGGTTGAGTATACCGCGAGGACGCTCACCCCTACGCGGATTCGAACCGGTGACCTTATGGTTGCAAAGCAAACGTGCAGACCACTCGGCTACTGATACTGTGATAATGATGTGAAATTGCATTGGAGTGGACCCACTCCTGTTCGTGGCAGAAGTCTATGACTCTAAAGCCGAGTTACCGATTTTGGCACGCGTATTGATGGCCTCTGTGTAATTGCATAGGTTGCTATTATCCTTTCTTAACAATGTAGTGTAGACTGTGCACTCCATCTCCGCGAGCAAGCGATTTCGCGTTCGGATGTGCTTTTGGCTTGAATCAGTAGGAAATGAGACTTCTATCAGTAGCTCTCATCTCTTATCCGTAGGTGAAAAACACTGACATCTTGCTTGTTGCTGGTGCGACGAATGCCTAGCTTACTCTGAACAGCCCTTGGGGCTAGGTGCGTTGCATAGTCGGTGCACGCCGTGAAGGTACTTTTGGTTTATTGCTGCAGCTATGCACTGGTCTTGATCATTATCACAGCAACACTGTTTCCCAACACAAAGATTTCTGTTGTGTCTCCTTGTACCCACTGAACTCCTCAACGCCCACTGGCCGTCAACTACGGATGGTGCTTGTCGGTCCAAGACTGTTGATCAATTTGTGGAGTATTTGACTGGATTCCGAACACACTCCTATGGCACTCGCTCTTCCCGCTTCAAATTGGCTTTCAACTGCCATGTTGTTCACTTATCACTTGCGCTTGGCATCGCTGAATGCGTATTCATTGTACATCGCCATTGCCGTTGTGGATGTGTTGATGGTTTCTGTGGACAGATAAGTCTTCTCTTGAACGTATTCCCAATGGAACCCCTCACTTCAGCTTATCGGCATTTTTAGATCGCTATCCTCATAGAGTTTGGCGAATGGGAAGGCAGTAGGAACACACACTCACGAAATTCTACACGTGTGTGCATTTTTTCGGGCGCCGTGGTGCTCTGCTCACTTATCCCTGTACTAATACTGAGGAGAATATGCGCCTGAAATTATGCATCTGTCGCACCGAGCTGATTGATATTCAGGGGAGCAGTTGGATAGTTCAGTCCACGCAGTACCCTGTGATGATTGTCGTTCTGCTCAGTACTACGGTCACGGAAGACACTACCAATGTTCATATACTCCACACACACCCCTTGAGATCGGCTAAAGGTAAAAATCTCTGCCTATTAGCGCCGCGAATGTTGGGGGTGGCAAGTTTGGCCGCGACGAGCTACATCAGAACTTACGCAGCAATGCCTACTACTCATCAGTAACTCATTCTGTTTCCCAGTACTCAGCGCAACTTTAGTGTGCGCAAGCGGGTGAACCCGTATTGAGACAAGTACTCCGGAATAATTTGCACTCCGTTATGCAGCCATCCCAACGGTAACCAGCGAGGATGTGGTCAGTCTGCGTTAGCAGCTGTGTAAGCGAATATATTCGCGAGGTGACGCACTGGCGGCAAGACTGCCATATGTCGTGGTGGTCTGCACGGTGGTGTTTACGACAATCGCCGTTATCTAAGCTACTTCGACTACTGGGTTCGCTTTGATTATCATCTTCGAACTGAATGACCTGCGCGTTGATTTTCTTAACAAAATACCCGTAGCGTTTTTTATGGAGAAAGTTGTAGCGTTGCCAATGAAATTTCTCTCTCTCTCTCTCTCTCTCTCTCTCTCTCTCTCTCTCTCTCTCTATATATATATATATATATATATATATATATATACCAGAAAAGCAAAATAAAATTTTAGAGAATGCTATCCTTCATTTGACATAGAATATGCAGCTGAATAACAGAATTAAGCAAACTAAATAAGTTGGAATGACTTTTATCCAGGTCAACAACACCCAGGTTAAGTGTATGTTGGCTTAGCGCAACTGCGGTTATTAATCATCATGAATGCAACATCAGCCTCTGCATGAGACGTAACTTGGTCCTACGTGGTCGGAGGCATCCGATTCCGGCTTTGCCTGTCACTGTAGCGTCCTTAGGATAGGTCATGCCCTGGTAACTAAGCTTCGGTTTCCTGATATGCCGCTTCTCCACACTCAGCTGGTTCCGTATCCGCGTCGAATCCATACGGCACACGTAACCGTGCCACCTCAGGTGTCTCAGCAACAGCATACAATCCTCTGCATACATTCCACTTCAGCGCAACACCTTGTCGGCAAGTCTATAACACCAACCGATGCGCAGTATCCGTCGCAAATGGTGTTAGTGAAACTGTTCAAGATATTTCATGTTCACCGGTACATCCTCCGTGTTTAACTGCCGTATAAATGAACGGACAGCATCGTGGTCTTGTAGATCATCAGCTTCATGCCAACGGTAAGCTGGTGGTTGTTCGACACTCGGTACTTCAGCTTCCGCTGTGTGTTTCTTTGTCCCACCCCATCCCTCTTAGCCTCCCCCTCCAACCACCATCTCATTATTTAGCCTTATATACTTTTGCATAGTAACTTTTTTGGGTGCACAGCAGCCGGCTGGTAGCTTACCGGAACGATGCCCATCCGTTACCGGTAGCTCAGCCAGCTTGCACCAGTTGCATTTCTTTTTTCTCCTTTTTTCTATGTATTGCGGCACATTAGCTGAGGTGTCCCCCTCCTCTAGCTAACGTGTACGATGATGATGATGACTTCAGCTTCCCGAATGTCTCCGCTGCCTTGGATACGTAAATACGAGGCTCACTGTTGATAACTCGAAACCACACTCCCAAAGTAGCAGAAACGTGGGATGGTTTCCAATACGTCATCAGCAATGCTGATTTGAGGCACCATTGTGGATGGCACTTTCGATGAAGGCTGAACTGGAAGTCTCATGCACTGTAGTTCTCGCCTTGTAACGACGAATGTTCAGCAAACCACCATCCCTACGGTGCTCCACACGAACTCTAAGCACAAGCTCATCAAACGCGCCTAACATCATGGCATGAAGATAAATATTAAACAAGGCAGGGGCTAGGACACAGACTTTCTTCACCTCAGAGACAACTGCTAAGTCATCCAAGGTCTGTACACTCAAATGTACCTTCGCCCGCATACCACTGTGCAGACATTCGATTAATCATACAAACTTAACCCAACAACCAAACTTACTCAACACCAGCCCCAATGCCTCGCGGTTCACCGTATCAAATGCTTTGCTGAAGCCAACAAACAGCGGGTACAACGACTGGTGTCGTTCTCTGCACTTCTCCGACAGTTGACGAGGCTCAAACGCCTTATCTATGGGGCTGTGACCCGAACGGAACACACATACTTTGTAGAGACCCATTGTTCAGGTTAGCAAGTTGATTTACGACATTATGGCATGCCTGCCGATAGTAATGTCTGGCGAATCTGCGACCTGGGATCTTCAACTGGGTTCAGTGGCCACTTACTCAGTCCCGATGCCGGCGTACTTTGATATGCATTCCGGACACGTAGCTTCGCCAGTTGGCTGGTGTCTAGGCGGTCAGAGCAACGTTGCGGACGTCCGCCGAAACGCACCCGATGGTCGGCACACACAAGAGCGTAGTCGCAGTCAACTCTCGTGCTCCAAATCGGGCTATAGTTTTGCACGCAGCTTCTCCAGCGATAACTGCTCACGATGTGATTGATTTGCGTCCATGGCTAGTCCGAAGCTGGTTGGCGCCAAGCCACACTTCTGCGGGTGCTATGTCGAAAGTTTGTGCTGGCGAGAAAGAGACGAGTATCTTCACACAACTGTAGCAGCTGCTCATCTTTATCATTACGGGAGCCTACACCATGTTGGCCGCCCACGTGAAGCTCATCATGCAGTGGCCAACACCGCAGTATCCGTGCTTCTGCTTTAACAACGGAGATGGTTAAATTGGTGATAGAAATCATCTTTCACCGAATCAGGACTGCACTTTGTGGAGGCGTAAGCCGCAATGACAAACAGGCACCGTTCTTCGCCGCACGACTTCGAAGAGTGGAACGAGCCAGCCAACCTAACGGCGCACATCCGGTTGTTTACAGGGATCTAATCGCCCAGGCAGCTTCAACCCGGGGTTCAAAACAATGTCGACGCTAGCTTGACCTGCATTTGAAGCTGCTTCATCGCCATTCAGGCGCAATGAGAATGTGCCGTCAGTGTCGCATGTGGGGGATCACAGGATAAGCACGAAGCTCGAATACTGCGGGCGGGTTTCCGGTAAACTGCAAATATCGATCGATAGCGTCTAGAGTGTTCGGGTATGTGCTGCCTGTTGACCAATATGTCAAAATGCGCATGTTGAGGCGTGCCTGTTTTAGCGAAGATCGCTGGCTCGAAAGGGAAACTTGTAAACTGATGTTGTCCGCTTGCTTGTACATGGACTTGTCGACTAGGCTAGGGCGACGCTCTGCGATTGTATGTGAGTTGAAACTAGAAGACAAGTGACTATTGAAGCAAGGTGGGGTGGGCCAAGAATTAGGAGATTGGAAACGGGGAGGAGATAAAAGTGATTGGAGTTGGACGCTAAGGGTGAAAATGCGCAAGAGAGGGAATAAGAAGGTGGGAAAGCCCTAGCAGTAGCATCCAAACCCCTATTTACCCTTCTCGATGCAGCAGATAAGGCGCCGTTTGTTATCCTCTACCACGGCCAGAGCATCAGAAAAGTCATGGTGTATTGCGTGAGCAGGATACTGTCAGGTGGCCCAGGCCTAGACAGGAGAAGGATTAGGGTTCTCACTCAAAGGGTTTGGTTCAAAAACCTTACCGAAAGGCAGCGGGGTTTTTGCAATGGACTACAGAGAGCACGTTTTATGAAGTAAGGAGGCACTTACATTTCAACGCCCAATCTGGAGGGCCAGGAGACTGAGTTTGTCTGGCCTCTAACCATTGACCATTCTGGTATGTTTGGCTCTGATGGTGCAAAATGCACCACACAGCATAGCCCAATGGATCACTGAGACACTTAAACCATGGCACCACGTTAAGGTCCAGTCTCATGACAATGGCTCTCGAGTAGGTTGCCGTCGAAATTTGCTTAGCTAACTCTTTCCCCAAGTCACTGGGATCTGCCACATGTGCACCAATTGCTGTATTCCTCTGACACCAATGCGCGAATCGTCGCGTTGTTCTCATCGGATCAATCGGGTCGCTTACAATTTGCGCGCTCCTTGGTCCACTCGGTGGCTACTGTCATCTGGTGGCGATTATGGTGGTAATGTGGCTATGTATTCCACATCACACAGATGTGCAGCCATTGCCTTTTCCAACACAATACTTTTTTCAACAGTGCCGAGGGAGAGAATATGAAAATTTTGCTTGCAGTTTATGGCAGACACAGAGTACCTACTTTTCCGCAAGTAGATGTGCAATTTGGTCCGATCCAATTTGTGATCAGTGCCACACGCAGCACACGTGTCATGCGCACTTCCCCTATGTCACGCTTACGTACGGTGACATAGTGGAGCAGGTGAGCATGCCCTCTTCGTGGGTGCGTCTCAGTTGCTACATCACGCACTCAGTGCAACCCGAGTCTTCGTGATCGTCAGACCGCGAGTGGCACACAGTGAGAGCAGCCGGTCACTGTTTGCAATCGCTGAACCAATGCCATGCGGACAGATGACATCTGTCCACACCGATGCATCAAACCCAACGAACGCGTTGAAATTACCCAGCAGAAATCGTCGGTCGCTGCTCGGCACAGACCATCTTACGGAGGATGACTGAGTGTAGAACTGATCACTCGTGGCATCTGGATAGCACATGGCCGGACCGTACGTGCTTATAAAAGTGGCAAACTTACATCTTGTGAGTCGTGGGCGAACAGTCATCAGTCGCATGCCGATGCCAGTGTGCTCACTCAGCAGCCGGCCATGGAGACGATCGGTTAGTGCAAATCCAACGCCATGTTCATGTGGTGCTGTGGTGGCGTTTCCTACCCAATGGAACGTATAGTCAGCACCAGCTTTGTGCAACTTACCATACTCAGCGAGCCGGGTCTCGTTGATCGCCGCAATATCATGTGGTAGTGCGCCAGTTCCATCGCGACCAGTGCAGTGCATCGCCCGTGACGCTCATTCGGGCTCCGGTCCAGTAGTGGGCGCGTGTTCTAGCACCTGTTGTTCATTCCTTTGCGCGCAGACATACAATTACCTTAGTGTGCAATCGCGCGCGTGGTGGTAGTTGTGCTTCGGAGGTTTGCTTGAGAGACTCCACTCGGAGCCTTTGGTCAATAGCCTGACAAGGCAATGGGGAGCAGATCGAGCTCGGGAATGTGATTGCAGTGACAGATTGGGATCTGCTTGAGGTCCGTCATACGCAACCTTCGAAGATCTGGAACAATTCATTTGTGTTTTGCGACCGTAGTAGGATACGCACCTGCGACCACGGCCAGACGCAGGTGGGTTTTGGCAGATTTGCACCAATTTGACCAGGGGTTCTCTGGCTTGAGGCGGGCGCCAGCCAACCATTAAGCATCCAGAGGTGCCCTCCCACCATGAGAGACATTGCGCAGCGCTCATGTTCTGCGTCATTCGAACTGTGAGCTTATAACTTCTACACCTGTTGTCTCACATGGCTAGGTTTTAAGTGGAGTGGATCATCGACCACTGCCTTGCCTCCGAAGAGAATGGGGTTTGAATTAGGATACTGGCAACGCTTCCACACTTGACAGGAGAACGACTCAGGTCTTTAGCCAAACCCGTTGATTAAATCTACACTCGAAAGGTAGTGGGTTTAGCACATGGTCACATGTAATTAAAAAGTCACTTGAAAATTCCTATTTAGAGTCAAAAGAACACGAGAGCACAGGTGAACAGTTGTTTCCTATGATTATCTTCAGACCATTACAAGAAACTGAAATGGCTGAAATTACATAGTTAATTAAAGGTTCATTGAGGGTGGCTAAAAGTTGTCCTTTGATCTGACAGGTCGATTGCGTGGTACCCAGCTGGATCTGTGGCCATCGACCTCAGCATCATTTGTTCTAGCTGACCAGGCAAGCTGTAAAAAGTCAGTGCACTTACCTTCGGGACACTGGAGTATTACACCGTAAAGTCTATGCACCTATTCTAACAGATTATCCACTATTCTGTGCTTGATTTCCTCTTGTTCTTAATCTGTGACTATACACTGTGTTCCCTATTACAGCACTGCGCCCCTACACATGTGAACAGTGTGGTAAATCGTTTTCCCAGAGGAGCTGTATGCGAATACATCTCAGATCTGTTCATCTGAGTGAGTGTTTTATTGCGTATTTCAGTTATCTTTGACTCTAGCGCTTGCGTTTCGCTATCGTTAGTGATGTCATGCAGCATCGATTTATTCAATCATATCGTTTGCAGCAGCTCCTTGCTTTATTCTTCTCAATGTAGAGTATTCATTTTTCAAAGTCACTCACTGTGTGCAATAATCTCTGTTTGAAAATTCGTTTATTTGCAACTCAGTGCTGGTGATCGACATTTCGCGATTCAAATTTTTATTGACTGTCACCTCATTCGCACAATTTCCACTACAAGCGATCCAACAGCAGTTCCCCTGCGCGTTGTGCTGCGTCTCTTTCTTCGGTTCGTCTGTTCGTTGATGCGACCATTCCAATTGGTGTGTGAGAGCTGAGATGCATTCGGTTTCTTCTTTCATGACATTGCGTATGGTATTGCTCTTGTCAACATCCATATCTAGCGCATTCATACTTTGCGCTTCGCTGTGGAATGCGCATCAAGCTTGTAACATCGAAATTCCCCCCATCCGTTTTTTCCAACTGCAGCGCTTTTGCCACGTTTGTACGACATTTTCCGTTGCGCTGAGTCGGACTTCGAAAGTCATTTGGAAGCGACATCTTTTAGTTGTGTAGTTCACTCATTCAATTTATAACTCACATCTTGAACATGGATTCTGAACACCAGCTTGATTGAGACACATTACTGTGCGCACTGTGGCAATATGTGGTTGGTGCGCGCCTGTTGCTTTCGTATGAAGCGTTTTTGTTCCCCGAATCTCGTCCACTCATTTTTCTTGCATCTTTATATGTTCGTCGCCGTTGCATGTGCGCGTCTGATCGAATCGCGTTTTTTCATGTCCCGTGAGTTACGTAGCTTCTGGTTTTGTGCCATTTTGTCTCTCGCATCGCTCGACCGTGACATAGATGGGCTCTTTGCTGTTGTTTTTTATCCATTCAGAGACGGCGGATATGACCACACCATCTTCGCTGCAGCAGCAGTGCTATTTGTTTCGTGTTGACCGCTTCGATCTAAGAGACAGCTTCATTTTTTGTCACTCTATCACTTCCAAGAGTGATGTGAACTTATACGCATGCATTTTTGTTACTACCGTTCCATTGATGTTACTGTGAAAAAGGAGCGAATGCATCCCTGTTTTCGCACTTGTAGCTTCGTCTAGCTGCTCGGCTGACGGGCCCCACGTCGCATGTTATTCAAGTATCTCGAGAGCCACCTTCGCTATTGAGACACGTGTGCGCGGCTCACAATTTGTTCATCCGTCTGGTGGAAAGTTGTGGCAAAGCTTATGGGATACCTCACAACACCGGATGATTGATAGGCGCTTATACATCATGAAACACTGTGGATACATGGTGAAATACTTGAGGGCAATTGTTTCCACTTGGACTGCCGTTCCAGATTCACCGCCTAATGTGGCAGCCGGCGTTGTCGATTGTGAATTGGCTCACCGCTGATTTCGCACGGTACTTAATTCACCATTGGTGGGTCTGATAAGAGACAAATCGTGCGAAAACTCCCTGAGAAGGCAACTTCTTCCATTTCGCTGACACGCTGAGTCTACCAGGCTCCGCGATCTTCCCTGGTGAGCTGTTTGAGCTGTGTTCAGAGCTCTGCGTAGCGTTACAGGAATTTTTCGGTGGTCTTCCATAAGTTGAACACTAGCGGAAATCTGTCAGTTGATGATGTACCTAGTGAACACAGAGAAAATTAGTAGATTGGTGCATGGCATTCCGGATATATGTCCAATGCGCCTCAACCTCTGTGATTATTGAGCTCCATAGAATAGAACCTACCGAATTCCGAAAGGCACCCATATTATTTGGAGCCATAAGTTTGCGTACTTCAAACCGTTTCTGGCGATGCTGCTAGGTACTAACAAAACGTAAGGCAATTCTGGCACTCATAAGCGCACACCCAAAAGTATGAGAAGCACTTTAACTTGCTCTGCTATCCTTTAAACAGCCTCGTTAACGGTACCCGATAACGATGTGGTCGGTCTACGTCCACGACCTTGGTCAGCACAGATCCGTAGCGGTTGATATTCTTCACCCGCTCTTCGAGTACCATGGCCGTGCAGACCACCGACATCGTGTTCCTAAGCTTGAAGCCTACCAATCTGTACTCTTAGGTCCCCTGGGAGAACCACGATATCCTTGCGGCGATTCTTATGGAGTAGGTCGGAGAGTTGACTGTAGAACCCATTTTACTGAGTCCTGGCTGTAATCCGTGGGAACGCTCACTGTTACGAACAACAAACAGTATTTGGTTGCCTCGCGGCTGCCCCTTCATATGGAGATTTCTAATCGAAATGCGTAGGGTCGGTTAATGATTGGAATCCAAACATTTAGCGTTACTTCTGCGCGCACACTAAACACAATTCCTGCTTCGGCCTGGTCCGCGGTTTCTTCACCTACGTCTCTCGATAATTTTGTCCTGAATGTGTCCTGTAAAAGATCTGAGGATTACGTAAATTTATGTCCACATGTGTTGTGTGCACATATAGCTTTTCTGTTACCCAGGTAGGGGAAGTGGGCTGACTTAGGTAACCCGAGCCGGCTCCTTAGTTATTAAGGCTTATTCGCAAAGCAGTGAGGCGGTTAACGTATATCGCGAACCGTCGGGAGCCGGTAACACGACTTTCGAGTAGCTACAAACTATTCAGAGCGACCGAACAGTAGGAGTATAGCAGCAGAGGGGCCGAGAAACGTTTCCCCTAACATCCGACCCATTGCTGAATGCTAAAACAGTCGACAGCCAGGTGGCTCATACGCCTCCTTTATGTTCGATTACACTCCACACAGAAGCTAGCGGTAATCGAGGTTGTTCATCCACCCTCCGTTAGTTACTCAATTTCGGTTAAAATGTGGGTAGTCACTGGCTCTATAGCCGAAAACATGGGCTTTGTCACATTGTTGTGCGATCTCTTGTGATATTTCATGCGTAACCAGATGGCGATACTCGAACTCCCCACCCTCTGAGACGCTGCGCTGATTGTTCGCGACTGCCTATTAAACTCACCTGCGAATCAAACGAGACTCGTTCACACTTGCCTTCATTAAGAAGGCATTCTTCGATCCGCAACCTGGATGAGCTCGCGACAGCGTACAGTGCGCCCGTAAGCCTCTCTCTTTGTAGACATCCCATCCTCAGCCTCGTCTTGAATCACTACTCCTTTACCTATAGTACATCATGGTATCACAGCGGCATAAGTATACGCCTAACTGTGGTGTCACTGTCATCTTTGCATTACGTAGTGCACACCCTACCAACCTTCGGGACTCGTTGGGCATTCACTTCATTGCTCCCACGAAATCATTGCGGATGGAACAACAGTGACAGCTAGGAGCGGCTATTTGGTTGTGAAAGTAGGCTAGGAAGTTTGGATGTATTCGTGGTAACTAATTGGGATGAGCAGCTGGATTCCGAAATGATGCGAGACACCTAATAGGTCGCTGACCGAACAGACTCCATTAGTCTGCAGCGACTGCATCTTGTACTATCCTTTGTCCTTGTTCCAGTGAGATCTCATCCAATCTGCTTAGATGAAATAGACCCGCCGGAATTGTAGTTGCCTTGTCATTATTTCTTATGAATGCCTTGCAGTCCATCTCTTAAATTACTTTCTCTTATTACGTTTAAGCCCACATTAACATGGCAAGTGCGAGAGTTTCTTGGTTACCGCTGTGATCTTGATGTACGGGACCCATAGAGAGCAGGTGGGAATCGTTCCTACTGGTTAAACAATATGGCAGCATTACTTCAGCCACATCGTAGCTTCTCGTCCAACGCGCGTTGAATTCACGGCTTTTTGTGTGACAACTCATGCCAACATAAACAGCCAGATGTCCTGGGGGCGCGGATTACTGGGTTCTACGCACGATGTTCTTTCATTGTAATGTTACAACAGTATAGATCACCAATAATATGGTTTGCGTTGTCAAATGTCAGGGTTCTATGGTGAACACACATTGACACAAGGATGGGTACACGACGAATGCGCTCACGGAAATATGCTAGCTCGATCTTTCGGCACATACTTGACTGCTGTACCCCTCAAAGCCCCGTGATTCACTAAGAATATGCTGCAGTTTTCCGAAACCTCAGCAACAGTGTTTCTCATTGTTCAGCGATTCAAGGTTGTCTGTCGAACTGGAACATACGCCTTACTTTCGACCATGGTTTAAAGCACGCAACCATCTTGCTCATTATTTTCATTCGTAAAGTAGCATATCACTTCTATTCTTCTTACTTGTTTTATCGTCTGGAGTACCACATCTGTGATTAAAAAAAAATCAAATCGTCAGTCCGACGTCCTTACTGTAAACTGGTTCCACTGGTTGATGTGTCTACTCCTGCGATGCATGTCTCTGATGATGTGCATGGTTCAGGTGACTCGAAAACTGGGCTGAAACCTAAGTGATGGATGCAGTTGACATGCAGCTGTGACATTTTCATTCGTATGCTAGGGACGAGCATGCACTATCGATGAAGTAAGTTTGATTAACATTTCATACATCGTACTCGAGCGAATCGGGAAAATCTCCGGAGTATTGTAAATTTACCGTGCCAGGTTTTCCTGTGCGGGCATCGAACCATGCTTTGGCGGAGCAAAAGTCAGTAAGACGTGGTCACCAACCTCGATCTGTGGACACCAAGTGTGTTCGATCCGTCGAATCGCTGTGAGCTGTGTAAATTGCATTAAGCGAGCAGTGCTTTGTCTTGAATATTGTAAGTGTAATACGGGGCCCTAGACACGTACAGCAACATGGTATGTGCCATGCGACTGAACATGTATATGTCGTGTGCGCAATTTTCTCTGCCAGCACAGTGAGCTGTTTACTAGTAAATTTGGGACGAATCACGCTCATTTGGGCCGTGACGTATATGGAATCAGAAGCAACTCATGTGCCAACAGCGCGAGACCTGCAAATAAACCGGATGTTCGGCAACCCATGAGAGTGGAATTTATGTCGCACATATCGACCAACTACGTTCCAG